GGCCTATGTTGTATCGAGGGTGAGAGAGATATTAACAAAAAATTTGGAAACTGGACAGTCATTTTTATATCTGCTTTGAGTAAGTTCCTTCCTTCTCTGAGCGTCAGTTTCCTCATTATAAAACAGGATGGTTAGAGTTCCTTTCTCCTGAGGTTGCAGGAGAGTCTGGTCAGGAGATAAAGGTAAAGGTAATGAGCTATGGCCTGGCCCACAATATGTGCTCATTCAATACTAGTTGTTGCTGGTATCAATTGCTGTGTATAACATGACTTCAGTAGCCCAGCAGGTAATCACTGTGTCAGTGAGGTCCACTGAAAAGCAGACGTCAAGACCGGATTCAACAGACAAGAGCAGTATTGAGAGCGGGAGCAGGAGAAGGCAGGTCTGGCACCTGGGGAAGGAGAGGGAGAAGGAAGGCAGATTGCACAGGGAGAGTCTTGAACTGCAGCACAATTCGAAAAAGGTTAAGCCACGCCAGTGGGGGTGCTTGAGCCAAAGTCACTTACTGGAAGGGTTCCGAATCTCTCCAGAGTGGGCCTGCCTTAGTATTCCTGCCATGCTTGGTGGTGGGCTGACAGCAGCCCACAGGAAATGTAGGCTCAGCATAGACGTGGCAGCACATCCCAAGGGACAGCAGCTGGAGCCATCAGTCAATCACGCTCCCCACGGCAGGAGATCTGAGCACTGCACGCTCACAGCTGCTGCAGTAACCAGACTTGGCCCTGGGGCCACAGAGTTCCCAAACGCTGCACAGCCCATCAAAACGAGTTCATACAGTGTCCTGTGCCCTCAGTGTGAGAAATTAACCAGCCGGGGCATCCATGGGGAGAGTACTTGGCCAGCACCGAAAGGTGCATACCTTGGTCAAGTTTTAGATTGTGCAAGATGGAAAATACGATGGAATCCAGACCAATGGGAACCCACTTGGACCCGGCACTGCTGACGCCAGGAAGGGAGGAGTTGGAACTATGGTTCTAACAGTAATCCAAAAATCTTCTCGGGAGATAGCTGCCAAGAGCCCGTGCCATTCGCTGGCAATGAACTTTCCCCTGAGGAAAGGAGAAAGGGGTTCCAGCACCATGTGAGGAACGGTGCTGGGGCGCGGGACCCCCAGTCCCCACTGGAAGGTTTGGGAGTTTCTATGGCATCTGCTCCTCTCAGTGTGGGAAGGGGACTTCTCACTCATTGAGTCCAACCCTCTCGTGCAGATGGGGAAGCCGAGGCCCAAATGGGAACAAGAGCTGCACAAAGTTCCCTGAGAGTCACTGGCTGAAGTGAGGCTCCAGCCAGGATTCCCAGCTCCCAGGCCAGGGCTGGGCCCTCTGCGGGCAACCCCACCAGCATCTGTCAAGGGTCTACTATGGGAAAGTGGGAGGAAGGCCAAGAAAAGACTGATTTCCAGAGAAGGAGGGGGACTCAGAGGGGAGACAGGGAGCTCCAAAAAGGATGGGGAGACTCAGAAAGGAGGCTGAGGTCTGAGAGGGCATGAGAGCTTGGAGAGCAGACAGGAGCCCCGGCAGAGCGACAGGGGTCAGAAGTATACGTTCAAGGGTTGGGATCAAGCTCTGAGGGCCCACAATGCCCCAGGCAGCCTGGCAGCCCTGGAAGGCAGCAGCTTCCTCTTCCCTTGGCAGGCCCCCACTTCACACCCCTCCACGGCCACGCGCAGGGGAGGGACTGACACTCTCAGGCATTAGTCAGCTCGTGGCAGTTAAAAAAAGAAGGCTCGATGGCACTTGTGAGGAACGTCTCTTCCAGTTTCGAGCACCAATGGGCTGCCACCTCCCCCTCCCTTCGCACCACTGGGCAAGGACGGGGGAATCGGGCACAGGGCGGAGGGCCCAGAAGCTGGGACCCCTACCCCCACGAGGGCTGCCTCCCACCTCCCACCTCATGATGATGATGATAACAGGCCAGCAGTACCATTAGTGGTAGCGTTTGTGATGTAGTGTAGTAGCAGGGCTGGCACATGCTTGCCACTGGCCCAGGCACGTGGGGAGGGTTCTGACCCTGTACTTGCCCTGGGTCCATTCACATCCAGATGCCCCACCTGGGGCCATGCAGAGGGCATCCCCTGCAACAGCCTGGTCAGAAAGTGACCCATGTGTGGGCGCAAGCTACAAGGGAGCTCAGAGGGCCCCCACTTCGGCCGCCACCTCCCACTTCACAGATAGGAACACTGGAGCTCTTAGAGGGCAGTAATCATCCAGTGTCATGTGGCAAGTGGCCCAGATTTCCTGTCCCCAGGCCAGGGCTCATTCCAATAAGCCAACTGGTCAGGCACCCAGGTTCAAATGTGGGCTTTGCACTCCTTGCTGTGTGACCTTGGGCAAGTGTCACTGCCTCTCTGTGCCTCATGTAAAAATAGGGATAAAAACACCTACCTCAAGTGAGGATTAGAACATAAGGCAGGCATCTGGAATCTCTTTTTGACTGCTGTATGCATGGTCAAAAGAGCTCAAAGAGCTTAAAAAGCCTGACCCCCAGCAAAAGTGTGGCCGGTGATAGTTACCATGCGTGAGTGCTGGTCCTGCCAGGCACATGTGAAGATTCGTGTCATCCTCAGCAGTCCCACAAAGTAGGTATTTCTGAATCCATCTTCCACATAAAGAAATGTAGTGAGGTACCCAAGGCCACAGAGCTGGAAACTGGTAGCCCCAGAAGCTGAATTCGGGCAAGCCAGCACTGTGCTAAGTGCGCTACACAAATGCAATGTCCACTCATTCTCTCATGTAACAGGCACGAAGCACCTACCATACACCAGGCACCACTTTAGATCCCATGCATACAGCAGTCAAAACGAAGTCAGGATGCCTGCCTTACGTTCTGTTTCTCAACTGAGGTAGGTTTTCGTATGTCTGTTTTTAGATGAAGCACAGAGAGGCAGTGCCACTTGCCCAAGGTCCCACAGCAAGGAGTGCAAGGCTCACATTTGAACCTGAGCCTAGCTGATGCCTCATTTTCTGCCCTGAGGGACCCCTTTTCAGCAATATCCCCAGAAAGGACTGAACCAGAGGTAGCTGCACTGAGGTCTGTCCAGGGTTCAAGCCCCTTCAGAGCCCCGGAACACTCCATCCCACACAGCCTCTGCCTCATTTCCCAAGGGGCAAATGGCACTTAGGCCCCACCCTCTCCAAGCTGTCTTGAGGATTCCTTCCTTCTTTCCTAAAACTAATTGAGATGCCTCCTGACATTATACAGACACCACAGTTTAGGAAACCCCTCCTCTCCTGGAGGTAGTTTTGCTTCTGTCTGGAGAAGAGAAAACCCACGGGTCTCAGAGGTGAAATGATTCAACTAAGGCAGTGACTCAATCAGAATTCAAGCCCAGACATGTGTGCCTCAAAGCTGTAGCCAGGCAGGGTCTCAGCAGGAGCAGATGGCACCCTCCAGGTGGGTCATTTGATTGGATTTTTTTTTTTTTTTTTTTTTTTTTTTTTTTTTTTTTTTTTTGACGGAGTCTCACTCAGTTGCGGCTGGAGTGCAGTGGCATGATCTCGGCTCACTGCAACCTCCACCTCCCAGTTTCAAGTGATTCTCCTGCCTCAGCCTCCCTAGTAGCTGGGATTACAGGCATGTGCCACCACACCCGGGTAATTTTGTATTTTTAGTAGAGATTTTCTCCACGTTGGTCAGGCTGGTTTCGAACTCCTGACCTCAGATGATCTGCCTGCCTCGGCCTCCCAAAATGCTGGGATTACAGGCATGAGCCACTGCGCCCGGCTTGATTTGATTTTAATAAAGTGATCACTTAGGAGGGATGAGAAAGGTATAGCAAACCACAAAGAATAAGGTAGTACCCCCACACCAGAGCTGGTGCAAGTCAAACTGTTACAGTCCCAAAGGGTGAAAGGAGGGAGATGGGAGAAGTCGTTGTCACCAGGAGACAAAGAGAGAGCCCCCAGTAGGAGATGTGGCCCTCTGCTGGAGGACACAGGCAGCTTGAGGGGATCTGGAAGGCAGAGAACTGGGGAATAAATACCCCAGCCTCACTATCCTCTCTCTTCCCAGATCCTACCAGTGCTCCCAATGGGCCAGACCCAGTGGAAAGCCAGACAACAAGGGTTCCCTTGATGGACACAGTCCCTGCAGACCAACCACTCAGGACTGAGAGCAAGGGGACGGTGTGAAGAGGATCTGGGAGGAAAACCGCAAGATCTCCAGCCAAAGTCAAATCCTGCCTTGTGTTTGCATAGACACAGTAGGTTCCATTGTCTATGGCAGCAAAGTCACTGTGGAAGGTACAGTCGTCACTACGGCTAGTTCATGCTACAGGAACAAACAACTCCCAAGTCTCAGAACTTCAAACCGGTTGGCAAACTATAGCCTGCAAGCTGGCCACTCATCTTGTAAATAAAGTTTCATCAAGACGCAGCCATAGCCGCCCATTTACGTACTGTCTGTGCCTGTTTTCTTGCTCCAACAGCAGAGCTGAGTAGCTGCGACAAGCCTAAAATATTCATTCCCTGGCCAAGAACATTTGCCAACCCTTGGCTTAAAAAAACACAGGTTTGCTTCTTACTCCAGTTCCGTGTCTGTCTCCACTCGGCAGGGCCTCTCCTCCATAATGTCCACAGTCAGGGGCCCAGGCTGGCAGGGCCGCCCCTGAAGAACCCACCAGTCTCCCTGGCAGGGGATGCAGACGGCAAACTGCCCACCAGCCCTTGAGGTTCCCACCAGGAAGAGGCACACTTCACTTCCGCTCACAGATCTCGGCAGAAATCAAGTGCCAAGACCGGGCCTAACTTCAAGAGGGCTGGAAAGTACAGCCCCTCCATGCACCCCACACGAGGAGACCCAGAAATGGACCCAGATGGCGGACCGAGCTCCTGACAAGTGTGGCATGTGGACACGGCAAATGGTTGTAAAACAAAGGAATGAGGACGCTGCTGGGTCTTGCAGCAAGCTTCTCCAGAATCCCTCCTGTGCACAGGCTCGGGGAAGCCAGGCAGGATTTCACCCACGGGTAGAGAAACTGGAGAGAATGCACATCACACACAGGCTGGGCTGCTACCCGTTTTATTGGCTTCCGTGGAAACAGGCAGAAACCGAAGGATCCCTAGGAGCTCCAGCCATGCCCACCTCCTGTCCTCTGTGGACAGACTTCTGAGGGCTCCCTTCTCTCTCCATCAGGGTCCAGAAGTTCTCCAACCACCGAAGAGGCTTTGGCTCAATTTCTGGCTCTATAACCAGTCACCTTCCAGCTATGAGCCTCCACCTCCCCAGCTGCAACAATCTGTGGGTCTCAAGGTGAGGTCCCGGGGCAGGCAGCATCAGCATCCCCTGGAAGCTGATTAGAAATGCACATTCTCAGGCCCCACCCCAGATTTACTGAATGGGAAACTCTGGTGGAGGATCCCAGAAATCTGGGCTTTAAGAAATGTCTCAGGTGATCCTGATGCTTGAGAAATACAATCAGGCACAAACGAATTGAGATGTGCAAAGCCCGGGCGCACACTGCTTTTCCAGCTGCCTTCCCCACTGCATAAATGACAACTCCATTCTGGTTTAAGCCAAAAACCTGGAGCCATCCTAGAGGGTTCTCAGACCCTCATCCTATGGCTTAGCCTTTAGAATATATTCAAATCTGGGCCTCCCACTCCACCTCCTCCACTCTGCCTGGCCCTGGCCTCTGCCATCTGACATCCACATACTACAGTGCTTTCTAACAACCCCTCCTTCCTTTGAGCCCTGTAGTACATCCTCACTCCAGCAGCCAGAGGATGCTCTTAAAAACTAAATCAGATGATTCCACGCCTCTGCTCAGAACCTCCATGGCTTCCATCTCACTCAGAAGAAAACCCGGCAGAGCCATCCTTGGTCCGATTCCCAGTGACCCCTCCACCTCCCCAATGCCCTCCCGCCTGCTCACTGTCTCCAGCCGCACTGACCTGTTCTCTGTTCTTCCAACATGCCAGGCACGCTCCCACCTTGGGGCCTTTGCTCCCGCTGTTTCCTCTGCCAGAAACCCTTCTCTAGCGATCCCCACACGGACCAAGCCCTCACCTCCTTCAGATCACCGTTCAAATGTCACCTCCTCAGAGAGGCCTTCTCCGACCCCGCCACCGTGCACTGCCCCTCCTCCGGCTCTGTTTTTCTCCATAGCCCTCACCACCACCTGACACACGTCTTTGTTGTTTCTCTGTTTATACTCTGCCTCTCCCCGCGAGGGTATGAGGACCACAAAGCCAGGCACCACTTGCTTTGTTCACTGCCATGCGCCTCCCAATGCCTGAATATGCCTGGCATGGAGAAAGCCCTGGATAAATATTTGTGGAGTGTACAAATGGATAGGTAGGCAGGTAGGTAGCTAGATGGATGGACAGACAGAGAATTACACGTTCCCGGGCCTTGCTGTGATCAGCACAAGGCAGCCCCCATGGGCACTCCCAAGAGTTACACCACAGAAAGACCCCAGGGTGGAAGGCCTTGTATGCTGCTCTGGAATCAGCAGTCTGGGTTAGGTCTCTTGGATGGGATTCAAGTCTCTTGAGTTGACCTGGAGAAAATCACATAACCTCTTTGATCCTCAATTTTCTTATCTCTAAAATGGGGATGATGTGATGATGTGTGTCATGTGCCTCAACCCTATAGGACTGCAGCGAGGACTACACAAGGTGCACATGAAGGGTGCTCGGTGCCCAGTACCACGGTAAGGGCAAATCGGCCTAAGTCCACGATCCACGGGAATCACTGCTGCCGCCATTGTTTTGCTTCCTTCAATTTTGCCAGTGGCCCGGGGTACTTGGGCAGCCATAGGGCTTATTGGGAGCATAACTGGCTCCAAAGAATTGGGTTTGAATCCTTGTAGCTACCATCTTGCTATGTGACTCTGTGCAAGCCACTAGCCCTCTCTGGGCCTCAATTTCTCCCTCTGAGCAATGGGAGAGGGCTACTGAAGGAGGTTGTGTTGTGATCCCTGCAGATGGATCCCCAGGTCCTTCCGGAGGACCAAGCCCACGCTCGCCAGGCCCTCTCCTCTTCGTGGTTGCACCGGGGAGGCACTGGGACGGAGGAGGCGGCTGGGACTCACACTGACTCCTCCCCTAGCCTCACTGACTCTGCAGGGAGGGAAGAGAGAGGCAGCACTGGCTGTGGCTGAAAGCTCCCCAACTCCAGGTCTAAACCAGAGTTCTCCCTCCGGTTTCTATGATTTGAGTGAGTCACTTAACCTCTTGTGCCTTAGCATCCTCATCTGTAAAATGGGAATAATTATCCCTTGTGAGGATAAAATAAACTGCTACGTGTAAAGTGTTTAGACCAGTGCTTGGCACAGAGTTATCACTATTATTATAATAGCTGCTATTGTTTCTAACAACCACAGCTGGTCTCTGGACCAGGCAACATCATAAGTTTTTATAAACTTTGATTTAATTTTTACAAATACTCTATGCCATTTTTGTCTCCATTTGAGAGGTGAACGAGTTTGGCTCAGAGGCTGAAACCATTTGTCCAGGGTCACACAGCTTGCATGTGGAGCTGGGTTTGAACCCAGTGTTCTCTCGAGCCTGGTTCTTTCCACTCACCACACTGCTTTCCCTTAGCTCTCTGATTTGCTGATAGGGAGTCAGGGGGTTACAGAGCTCAGTCCCAGGCCTCAGTCCTGCTGGGCCCTTTCACCCAAAGCATTTCTGGATCCATGCAACATCATACCTAGAGGCAGAACTAGAGGGCCATGACTACTCCCATTCACAAAGAGGCTGCCCCATGCGAGGGGCAGAGCAGAACCCGGCCCAGCTGCCAGCAGGTGCATGGCCAGGTCTCCAAGGGAAGTGGCCCCAGCAGCCCCCGGGCAGCCAGCCCCTCCCTCAGCCGGGCAGCCCCCACTCCTCCTCCCATCCCCCTACTTTATGACCTGTTTTATGAGCGGGAGGCCTGGCAGCTTCCACGTTGCCATGGGAACCAGCCCAGTGCAGGCTCCTGGCAGCTCGATCAGGGATTGGCAATTTTAAGTCAGGAGCCAATCCCGGGGCTAGCAAGGGTTTCCACGGGTTGGGGTCTGTGGGCCCCAGGGGTGCACCGTGCCTGCCTGCCTCTCTCCTCTGCTCCAGTGCCCCAGGTGCCTAAAGAACTCAAGGACCCTGCAGCTGAAAGATGACAGGCCGTGAGAGCCCTGGAGGAGCCTGGGGCAGCAGGAAATGAGGCGGACCACCAAGTGGGGGCTGGGAGAGCTGACAGAGCTGGACTGTGGACACACACGCCCAGGGACACACAGAGGCACTAGGACAGCTGACATGAAGGGCCTCACAATGATATGCACAGATTCACACAGAGAAATAGAGATATGCACACCGCAGCCACATATGCATAGCAAGGAAGGGTACCTGCAAACACACAGAGACACACAAATCCATGGGAATGCCTGTGTGCCCAGAGACTCACAGACACACAGACAGCCAAAGACACACACAGAGGACACTTGGGCACCCAGAGATACATGCAGACACACACACGGACACCCAGAGGACGCACAGACACATACTGCTCACCCACTCTGTGGCCCAGGCAGCTTGCCAAACCTCCCTGAGACTCAGTCTCATCATCTGTCAAAAGGGCATCGCAATCCTAGCTTGTGAGAACAGGGAGGAATAATGAGGAAGATGACTGTGTGTTCTCAGACACCTTCATTCGCCAGCCAGACAATATAATTAAGCACCTACTATGTGCCAGGTGCCTTCGCTGAGCTGAGAAAAGGGAGCTAACAAGGACCTACTCTCAGGAAGCTCACAGTCTCCTTCAGGAGACAATAAATATGGGAACGAGGCAAGTTTTTTTTTTTTTTTTTTTTGAGACGGAGTCTCACTTTGTCACCCAGGCTGGAGTGCAGTGGTGTAATCTCAGCTCACTGCAACCTCAATCTCCCAGGTTCAGGGGATTCTCCTGCCTCAGCCTCCTGAGTAGCTGGGATTACAGGCACACGCCACGATGCCTGGCTAATTTTTGTATTTTTAGTAGAGACAGGGTTTCACCATGTTGGTTAGGCTGGTCTTGATCTCTTGACCTCATGATCTGCCCACCTCGGCCTCCCAAAGTGCTGGGATTAGAGGCGTGAGCCACCACACCCAGCCAGCAAGTTTGAATAATGAGACTTACTGTGTAGACAATAAAACAGACAAGAGTGACTCCATGGAGAAACAGGTTAGGGTAGTGAGGGAACACTCCTCTGAGGAGGTGACATTCACCTGAAACAGAGGGAATGTAATGGAACTGGCCAGAAAGTTTGGAAAGAAGAGTGTCCCAGCCAGCAAAAGCAGGAGGTGCAAAGGCACTGGGGTCAGAGCAGGGCTCCACATGGCTAAGAAGCCCCAAGGAGATCAGTGTGACCGCAACGGAGGGAGGAGACAGGCAGTGAGTCTGAGAGCAACTGGAGGCCGGAGCAGGAAGGGCCCTGAGGCTGAGTGATGGACGGTGGGCTTCACTCTCCGTAAAATGGGACCCGCGAAAGGGCTTCCATCCAGGATGATCTGGTCAGAATCACATTTTAAGTAGCTCACTTTGGCTGCTGGGAGGAAACTGCCTGGTTAGGACAAAACTGGACATGGGAAGCCCAGGGTCGGGGGCTGTGGCAGCATCCAGGGGAGGGGTGACTGCAGGCTGGACCAGGGTGATGACAATGGCCATGGATGGTCCTCGAAACTGTGAATTCAATGCATCTTTACTGAGCTCCTATTCTGTGCCAAGCATCGGGGATGCAGAAGCCAACAAAACAGAAATTCCTGCCTTCGCAGGGCATGCAATCCAGAGGAAAGAGAATGGTAACTGAATATAATCGATGCCAGTGGTAAGTGATGACAAGTGCTGTGGGAAATATCAAAGCAGGGAAGGGTGTGGAGATCAGCCAGGGAGGGGTGGGGCGATTTGTAGCTTTAAACAGGAGAGTCGGGAAAAGTCTCATTGCAAAGGCTGCATTTGAGTAAAGATATAAAGGCGGCATGAGAATAAAATCTGGGACCGAGAGCTTCAGGCAGAGAAAACAGCAAGTGCAAAGGCCCGGAGGCAGGCCCGCTCCTGGTTTGTTTGGAGAAATCAGGGAGGCCCCTGAGGCTGAGCTGAGTAAGCTGGTGGTGGGTGGGACAGATCATGCGGGGAAGGGAGGGAGGGAGGAAGGGGCTGAATGGGCAGAAGAGACTGGGACCTGGATGCCTGCAGGAGGGAGGGAAATCATGGAGAGAGGGCCTGGCCCCTTCTCCATCCTGCCCCCTGACCCGAGGAAGCAGCATATCCCATTCCTCCTTTCATCCCACAAACCTTCATCAGCCAAAAAGTGAAAATTTAAAAAGGGAGGAACTGATCCCAGGAGAGGAAGGGCCTTAAGATTTGCCTGCCCCCAGGTCAGACCCCAGCCCGTGTGGGGTGTGACTTCTGGTGGCTCTGCAGCAACTCCCAATGCCCTCCTCAGGATGCATTCCTGGGCCTGAGGCTCAGAAAGAAAACACACAGCCCATAGCAGCCAGTTTCAGCGCTCCTAACCCTGCTGGGAGGCACCCCCACCCTTAGGCAGGGCTGCTGGGATGGGCTCCCTAAGCTGCAGGTGAGAAGAATGGTGGCTAATTAGGGTGCTGCCTCCCCCTCACTCTCCAGGTCCCAGGGATACCCTGAGTTGGATTTCAGGTTCATTAATGTCTTGGCACAGATGCTCTGGCTGTGAGCTCTCTCCAGCTGCCCAGCCTTGGCTGGCAGGAGTAGGGAATAGAAGGGAGGCTCACAGTGCAGTCGTTTCCCTCCAGAGTCAGACCCAAGGCAGGCCCAGGGTTCAAGGACGTCCTAGAGGCTCCACCATCGTTGCAGCCCAGTGACCTTGGCTGAAACAACCTCCCTCCTTGAGCCCCGTTGTCCCTGTCTCTCCAGGGGATCATAGGCCTTTTCCCACCTGACTTTCAGAGCTGGGATGAGCCCGAATAAAGGATGAGAGTGAAGGTGGCCTGAATCATTAAAAAGACAGGCAGAACTCCCTGTGCCACTCTGGAGGGATCTGCAGGGTGGGTTGTTACGTCAGACAAGGCAACTTGCAACCACTGCCGCCTGGCTGTTCTCCCAGCTTCTGCCCTTCTGAGGTGGCTGTTCTCCCCTGGTAGCCTCTGTATTCTGTTACATAAAATACCAGGTCAGAGAATTCCTGTGGGACCCAGCAATTCCACTTGTGGCTCTATGCCCAAAAGAACTGAGAATGAGTCTCCAATAAGTATCTGCACACCCATCTTCATGGCAGCGT